TAGTGTTGATTGGTATTTAGTGCCCTACGTTTGTGCCCCGTGTTTGTAGTGTTGATTGCGTGCTCCTTGTTCATCTGTAGGATGGACGCAGAAAGTAGCTACAACTTAGAAATCCAGATTGTTGCTCCCAATTCTCGTGTGCGGTGGTTTTCGTTGAACAAAGTGGTGGATGCTGACCGCACTAACTTCACAAACCTGGTTGCTGAAGTTGTCGACAAGTATCCTCATGACTATGGTGACATAGTGAGATTGTTTTATTTTTGTATGGATAGTAAAGTGAACATCCAAGTTTGCACTGACCAAGATTTGCTTGAAATGTTTGCAAAACATAATGCTTCCAAATCATGCTTGTTGACTATTCCATATCATAGCCCAGGTAGTGAGCCCCCTGTGATTCCTGATTGGGATTCTGGTAGCACTATGAACTCTGTTGAACCCCATTCACCCCTTCAATTGCTTGTCCAAGCTTAGCAGAACCAAGTCATGCCACACACACTCAATCTGCTGAACCTGAATACCTGGCTAACCCAAACCCAATGAATGAGCATGTAGGTGTTGATGAGGAAGGGTTATATATTGACCTTGGTCCCCAATATCCCCCACCTCCTCCCAATCCTCATAGCCAAGGTGGGAGTAAAGAAAGGGAAGGTGAGAGTTCTGGTGCTGATGAATCCTCTGAGACAGACTCTGATGATGAATCCTCTAAAGATAAAGTAGAAGGCATAAATGATATGGTTAAAGATAGGGAGCCTGAACATATGCATGATGTTGATTATGACAAGAAGGACCCTCCTATGTCAGTAGGAACAGTGTATTCAGACATAGATGCTTTTAAGATTGTTTTAGCTACTCATTCTGTTAAACATGAGTTCAACTATAACATTGAGAAGAGTGATACAGGGAGGTATAGGGTGAACTGCTCATAGCAGAGTGAGGGCTGTAGGTGGAGACTTCATGCCTCAATTCTAAGGGATGGGCACACTATGAAGGTAATGTGTTAGTACGTTATTTTCATTGACTGCTCCCTATTTTTCTTGCATTGTGTGGCTTGTAATAAGTGCATTACTTGACTGTTTTGTAGGTGAAAAGAACCCCTACCCTCATGAGTGTCAGAGTACTAGGAGGCAAGGAATCTATGTAGGGGTAACACAGTTCTGGGTGTACAGTCAGGTGATTGATTGGCTAAAGGAAGATGGAACTCTAGGTGGAACAGAACTACAAAGGAGGTTGAAGGATGCACATAAAATTGTGGTGCCTTACAAGAGAGTGTATAAAGGTAAAAATCTTGCCATGGATAAGATTTATGGGCCTTGAGACAAGTTTTGATAACCTGTATAGGCTTAAGGCACAGTTAGAAGAATCAAGTCCTGGATCATTTCTTGTCATTGATAATCACACCATCAATAATAAGATCAGGTTCAATAGGCTATTCTTTGCACTGAAACCATGTGTTGATGGATTTCTTAGAGGCTGTAGACCATATCTTGTAGTAGATAGCATATTTTTAACATAAAGGTTTAGGGGACAGTTGTGCATTGCTTGTGTAGTAGATGGGCACAATTGGATGTATCTAGTAGCTGTTGGTGTAATTGACTCAGAAACCAATGAGAATTGAGTGTGGTTCATGGAGAGATTGAAGGAAGCAATAGGCACCCTAGAGGGCCTAACATTCTACACCGATTATGGCCAGACAGTCATGAATGGGGTTAGTGAAGTTTTTCCAAATGCTGAACATAGAGAGTGTATGTATCACTTAGTATAGAATTTCAAGAAGAGGTACAGTGGAAAGGTATTTGATGATCACTTGTGGGCTTCTTCATATTCATGGAGCCCTTACATGTTTGAGAAGCACTATCAAGCAATGGCTGCAGCCAAACCTGAGGCAATGAAGTATCTGCAAGAAACTCATAAGAAACTTTGGACTAGGAGCCAGTATATGACATTGTCAAAGGTTGATTATGTGACTAATAATTTGGTTGAGTCATTCAATAATTGGATCAAGCCTGAGAAGGTAAAGCACCTGGATGACTTGTTGGACACTATAAGATAGAAGATTTTGGTCAAATGGAACCATAGAAAGAAGGTAGCCAAGAAGTTAGAAGGAAAGATTCTGCCTCATATCCAGTAGAAAGCTAAGGGAAGACAGTTACAACCTGGACATTGAAGTGATCATAGCCTCCCCTGATGGTGTGGTAGAACTGTGTGCTAAGGGAGGTAGTGGCTTCAGGTTTGTGGGCAGCCTACTTGACAGAACCTGTTCCTGTAGGGTTTGGCAGGGGTCAGGAATCCCATGCAAGCATGCAATAGCCTACATTACTTTAATTCCTGAGGAAAAACTAGAAGATCATGTGAATGATTACTTCTATGTCAATAAATTCAGAGCTGCATATGAGGGTTTCATCCCTTGTATTCTTGACAAGAGCATATGGCCCAAAGCTACTCATGGCTTTTTCATGCACCCTACTTGTCTTAGGTCCACATGAGGTAGAAGGAAGAATAGGATGAAATCATCACTTGAGGGAGGCAGCAGCAAGAAGAGGGCGAAGAAACATGAGTGCCCCATCTGCCATGAGTTAGAGCATCACTGGTACATTTATAAGAATGGGAATCCAGAAGATATAGCTGCAATGGAGGCTGAAAGGTAAACTATGTAACTAAATTACTTTGTAAATACATGTACAGCTTCAATAACTTAGTTAACTAATGTAACTTTTCCTATGCAAGGGTCTTCCAAAGAAAAGGCTAAAAAAAGCAGTAAGATGTAACATAGAGACTAGCATTGTAGTTGCTACTCCATCCTAGATGATGTTCCCACACAATGAGGCAGTGGTCAATGCTACACACAAGAAAAGGAAGATGAAATCTTCTTCTTCTTCTTCTTCTAGTGCCAAGAAGAGCAAGGGGCAGCTACCACTACTACTTCATGCTTAGGTCCAAACAGTGTGTCTAACAGGTATGTTTATCAGTTCTTCAATTAATCACAACACTTCTATTATGACTGCTAATGCTAATGCACACTCTGTCTTTTTGCCACAAGGTCTGCAACTGGTTCTAATGAACCAGTTCCAATCCAAACTGTGCACCTGGCCCCTTTCCATGAAGACTCCATTATAATAGAGACAGAGCCACTGGAGACTGTGCTGCCCCAGGCTTCACTAAGGAGGAAGATAGGGATCAAGAAGAAGCTTACACCAAAGAAGCTCCAAGTTACAATAGCCAACCTTGCTTTAAATACCAGAAGCAAGAAGCTCTAACTACAGTGAACGGTGTCTGCTCAATGTTCTTTTGGTGATGTGGTTATGAAAAAACACCTGCTATGTGATGGTATGACTGTTCTTTTGCTCTATGATGAATGTTCTGTGATAATATGACAGTACTTAGCTGTAGATGAAAACCAGTAACTTAGCTGCTATGTGATGAATGTTGGTGACATGTTGGTGCCATGAAACATTTGTGATGAAAAACAGTAAGGTAGCTGTTGTTATGTGATGAACACCAGTTATATGATGAATGTTAGTTTACTGTTGCAGTACTCTAATTGTTGTTACATTGTTCTCATATGTTGTTGCATTCTGGATAAATGAACAATCTTCATATTCATCATTCAACATTGATTGATTCATTCATCCATCCATCCATCCATCGATACATCCATTTATCCATGACTACTCACACACGCATAGGCACCTACTTCTTCAAAATAGCATATAAAGCAAGAAATATGCAAACATAGACCATCTTCTCAATCCACCTAAGCTGTTGTAGAATCCTGTTGTCAATCCTATTCTCCACTTGTGCAACTCCAGTAGCCTGGGAACCTTCCTGGATGATGGCCAGAGGAGCTATAGTAGAAAAACCACCAGGTGGTGCCACTGCCACAGGAGAACTGCCTGTAGTGGAGCAGGGGCTATAGGTGTCTGCACTTCAGTGTCCTCCATTTCATCCTCCCACTGATAATACTGACAGCCTCAAATCTGAAACCCAAAGCATCGACACATTGTCACCAAACAAAAAAAAGAAATATGCAAAGGAAAAAATGAGCAGAGAAGGAAACACAAACTGCAAAATAGGGGCACTCGAGATGAACCGATTGGCAAGTACATGACAGTTGGGACAAATCACCCACTTGACTCTACCATCATAGCTGCTAGAAGCTTGAGACATGGATGTGGCAAGAGAGAGGTGAAGGAGATAGAGCTCAAGTTGAATGAATGGCAACAGATAAGCAGTCTGTTCGTTTGGCTGTGGCTTGTCGTAAACAGTTGTAAATTTTTAGCCGGAATAGTATTTTTCTCTCACACAAACCAGCCAACAGTACTTTTTCACGAACCAGCAACGAAACGAACCAGCCAACCAAACAGGCTGAAGGCTGAGGACCTATATATACGTTGGCGCCAACACCATAGCCTTTGGCGTCCAAACGCTCAGGTCTGGGGCTGACCTCGAAATGGCACATAAGCAAACCAACTAGTTCACAGAGCCTCTCAAGTCTAAGGGCATCTAAGTCATTTAGCTGTGCGTTACCTACAGTTACAAGAAAAACTGAACGAAATAACATGTTGTACAAAAAAAAATTAACGTCATGGGACTAAAATTCGTGTAAACTTAGGCTTTGTTTAGATTGCCTCAAAATTTCAAGTTTTTTCATTCTCTCCATCACATCAATTTTTGGACGCATGCATGAAGCATTAAATGTAGGTAAAAAAATAACTAATTACACAATTTGGTTGTAAATCACGAGACAAATCTTTTAAGTCTAGTTAGCCTATAATCAAACAAAGTTTGTTAAATAGAAACGAAACATGCTGTAGTGTTCAGATTATAAAAATTTACAATATAAACGAGGCATTAGGCACATACAGATAGAAGCGTCTTGTAATGGCACGGATTGAAAAGGCTCTTATATAAAACCACCGTATTCCCGTCACACCCGAACCCACGAGAGCTTCCCTGACCGGCTGACCCTCGCCCCGTCTCCGATCGCAAGGAAGAAGAGGAAGATGAGCTACTACGGCCAGCAGCCCCCCGTCGGCGTCCCGCCGCAGCAAGGTGCGGCGCCGGCTCTTCCCGTCTTCGATCTATCTGCTTTATTATCATCCAAACCTTCGCTTACTTTCCGTGATTGGGGTATGGAATAAGGCTAATTATCTTTGGCGTGTGGATCTTGATTTCTCCAGGCTACCCGGGGAAGGACGGCTACCCGCCAGCGGGGTACCCGCCGGCCGGCTACCCCCCGCCGGCGCAGGGGTACCCGCCGCAGGGCTACCCGCAGCAGGGCTACCCGCCGCAGTACGCGCAGCCGCCTCCACAGCAGCAGCAGAGCAGCGGGCCTTCCTTCATGGAGGGATGGTACGTTCTTACTCCTCCTCCCCGTCTCCTCCACTTTTGTGCTGCGCAGCCGCCATGGCTTGGCTCATAATACGTTGCTAGATTGGAGTGCCATCGAAATTTCCTCACTGTATTAGATCAAAAGTAAGGGCTACTTTAGAGGGTAGGCAGCTTCGTTCGGGTCACCGGCCAGATCCGTCCGGGTCCGGCGCCGGTGCCGCCGGCGGTGGCCGTGGCAGGTGGCGGCCGTGTCCGTGCGCACGTTTGCCTCTATGGGTGGGGGCCTTGACTTGACGCGTGAACCACTCTTGGAAAAGGGAGCCGCCGCCCCTCGTGGGTCGTGGCCTTGCCGTGGCGACGTGTCGGTTGCCACAAGCAAGGTATCCTAGACCGTCTGATCTGAAACTGGCGGTCCGGATTGCTAGCCTCGGCGGCTGCCGTTTCACATGCGTTTTGGCTGTGCTCGCCACTGATGGTGGAGGGAGCCATCCAACTGTTGGGTTGCTGTCGTGTGAAAGCCCTGAGACTTCCAGATTCCTTCGGGGTGAGGTCACCTGAGATAATATTTGTTATCTCCTTTTTGGCTTGGTTGAATGGATAATATACTTACCTTAACGCTCTAATACCAATGAGATAGATGATGCTTGATGCTCTAGCACTCACTGTAGTTGTACTTACATAAACACAAATGGAAATTGGAATATTGCAATGGATGGCTGGGCATTTGGAAGAAGCAAGCATGTTTAACTACATTTTAATAACGCATATTCTAGAACGGGCATATATTCTCCCATCTTTGGTTTGGCATTTAGGCTTTATCTAATGGTCCACTGCTTGAACAGCTTGGCTGCCCTCTGCTGCTGCTGCCTCCTGGACGCCTGCTTCTGAGAGGGCGATCCGACGGATTCAACCCGACTGCAAGTGAAACTACTACTAGCTTATGGAAGAGCTGGATCTGAACTCAGCTTGAAATGCTAGCGTGCTTCTATTCTAGCTTTGTCCTGCATTATCGCCCTCTTTTCTCTCTCTGTTACGAGACTACTAGTACTCTGTCGATGTCGATTGGATCAGACTATAGGCTTGTGTGTATTCTGTGGATGTTCCGTGTTCCTGGTGGAATTCAGCCCTGGGATTATTGTATTTTCTATCTGTCACTTGGATCGGTTCCTTTGCTGTTACTCTGTTGCTCAGCACGTTTTGGTATATCTGCGCGTTAGCCGCCGGGTCTCGCTCGCTCGCGATGTTTGACTGGCGCAATTTAGGGCGCGTTTAGTTGGCAAAAAAAAAAAATTTTTTCCGTAGCACTTTCGTTTGTATTTGGCGATTAGTATCTAATTATGGACTAATAAGGTTCGAAAGTTTTGTCTCACAATTTCTTATCCAATTGTGCAATTAGTTTTTTTTTGTGCCGTAAAATTCGATGTGACACTTCGGGGGTAAAAATTTTTGGAATCTAAACATGCCCTTATTCGGATCGAGTTATTTGACCTGGCATTTTGGATAGTGCCTTGTTAGAAAAATCACAACTTCTCTAGATGCAACCTGGGTCGCTTTTCCGTGCTTGACTTCGGGGTCAACATCCGTTGCGTGCAGGGCGTGAGGCGTCCAGGTCCAGCCGTCCAGCGTTGCGATGTCTTGGCATCTGCTGGAGTCTCGACTCTGGACCGTTGGACACGTTCATTCAGTATAACAGTGACCACGTCTTGTTGTAGACAGAGAGAACAGTCCGTTGGACGCGTTCAGTAACCGTGACCATTGGTAACTCATGAGTTTGGCACAGGCTTGCACAATGTTTTGCTGCGAGTTTTGAACTGCAAAAAGGGAGGGGAGGGATCATGACTGCAAAATGAAAAGCATTGGATATAGGACCTTTATTTTTCTAAACAAAAAATTAGGATAGACGATGTATTGGTAGGCGCTTTAAAATCACCCAACTGCACACGGCACCTTTAATCACTTCAAGCAATGCTATGCCCTTGTCGTTCCTCGTTCTTTTGCTTGGTATAGATATCCATCGTCTTTCGCTTTTGTGTCGCTAAAAATTAGTGGACGAAACTCTGTAACACGGACCTTCTTTCGCTTTTGTGTCGCTAAAAATTACTCTGTAACACGGACCTTCTTGGGTGTCTGTTGTGGACGAGTCTTGACGTTCAAGACTCTGCAAGTCTGCACCTTCACGTCTCCGTCCAAAGAACTCGTACAACCTAGATGAATCAGGGCTACAAACCAATCCATCGAAAGAACTCGTACAGAGTAGATGAATCAGGGCTATTCGTACAAACCAAGCGAGTTTTTTTCTTGGCACGGAACGTTTTTTCGTTTGGCACGGAACGTGATAATCGTTTGACTGATGAGCAGCTGCAGCAGCAGCTTACAACTGCATCCGTCGATGATTGGACTGCCGGCTGCTTGCTGGCCCGAAAAACACCGCAGCGCCCATGGGCGATCAGCATCGTCGGAGACTTCGCGTAGATAGATAACCTGACACATTGCAGGTACAGTCAATCTCACGCTCCACAGCCTCATCCGTGGATGCGATTGGTCTCCAACCGCCTGCCGGCTGCCGAGTGCTGGCTCGGAAACACCGCAGCGCCCATGTGTGATCCGCATCGTCGGAGACTTCGCGTATTTTGGAAGTATTTTTGAACTAAATAACCTGACACATTGCAGGTAACAGTCAATCAAAGCTCTTGTCACTTCAGCAAGAACCAGAGCACATGCCTTTCTTTCTTCCATTCACAGTTAAAGAGTACAGCTGCAGCATCATCGTCTGGCAGAGGTGGCAGCTCATCCGTATCGGATACTTAGATGCTACACTAGTGCAACAAACCCTGGTGCTAGAAACTGTGACCCTCAGATCTGAATCATCGACGGATCTAGGCCATGTTCAGACGGATCGGGCTGTTTGCGCTTTGCCTCATGACGATGTGATGCAGCGCAATGCACACCTTCTACTCGGTGTTGGGGTTGGGCAAGTTAAAGAACCTCACCTAAGTTCTGAAATCTGCAGTCAATATGATTCCTAATTTGCTTCTGTCACCTTCTGCATTCTGGCGCTGCATCATGTGGCTGGTTCACTCACTCTCATGGAATGGAACCTTCGTCCATGAATTCCATCGGCACCAAACTTCTTGCAGATTCTTCGCCCCATAACAAGGCCATAAGTACCTGACGCAGAACACACTAAATCTGCAGCATTTACAGTCCATATATACCCAACACCAATATCTACATCTCATCCCACGGAAAGAAAAAAAAAGCGCTGATCTCAGCGAAAGAATAAAGCCTCGCCGATGATATGATATCACCATCACACGCTACTGATGTTCTCTTTGATTTGCTCTTTGTACGGGAAAAAGAAGTAGAAAGGCCTTACCTTTGATTTCAGCAGAACAAAGTCATTATCAGAATAAGTAATTCCACTTTTGAAGCTTAATTAAAGAAAACCAAACTCTAGGTTGGCAGCAAAACTAGAAAACCTGTCAGTCCAGCTGGCGGATAACAAACCCGCCTCTTTTTTGCAGACCCACACACACGAAAAGAAAAGGCAACTTATCTTTTATTCTTTCCTGACGCACACAATGAGTGATCAACCAGAGATGATACTATACGAGCACTTCATATTTCTTTGTTTGCATCAAGTGATCAAGGATACTTTGACATCTATGGATACAATAGAACCAATGGTTTCACTAGTTCTTTTTTCTCTCAATAAAAGTGGAAAAGGTAAGTTCTGACTGCATGCCTCTATTTGGTATTGCTTGTTAATAGGGTTTACATATAATTCAATCATCTATTTGTTCTCTGCCTTGATTCTATTGGCGAAACAAACTTCCTTCACATACTTAAACAAGGATAATCATCTCTCAAATACAGTGACAGTAAAACGGTGTTTTGTTTCTTTGTGAAGTTATGCCTTTGGGCAAGCGCAAAATTGCTGTAATCTTAGCTGGTATCTTCTTAAGTGGCACCAAGCTCTGTGCGTGCTGAGTCATCTGATGACAAAATTGTTGGCGTTAACCCTGGCAGGCTTTGGCTGCAGCTGCTTTATATAATACTTGGATCCACGGGACAAATTGATACGTTTTCTCCTCTGCTCGGGGATAGATTCAATTGAGCACTCTGAAAAGCCACGCCGCACAAACCTGCGACAGTTCAAAATTAAGCACAAGGTAGAAGCAAGCATACAGAAAACTGAAAATCAGAGCATTGCTACTATTTGCACATAGTAATGAGTCAAGAGAAGAACAAAGGTAAATACTATTTGCACATAGTAATGAAGAGAACAAAGGTAAATACCAGTCTGCAGTCCGTGTAGTAAGCAAGAATAATTTCTCGAGACCAAGGGATAATGCCACCTTCTCAACGTAATCTGAAGAATGACAACCACCATTAAGTAACAAAAATGGACTTCTTAGCCTGTTCTAGTAAAAATGCCACAAGACTGAAACTCCTTTAAAATGGGTGAAAGGATACGCTAACTGAAAAAACAGAGACCCCCACTTTAACACCACATTAGTGGTAGGTGGACTGTTATCTTGTTATAATATTTAGGGATTGTGTGCGCATGTGAGAAAGCACACACAGGAACATGTGCACATGTGTTGGAGAAATAGTTGTGGCAACCTAGCAGAGGGTTGCAATATAACCAATGAAGAGAGAACAGATTCTGATTATCCATGTAGCAAAGAACATACCAAGTAACTTGTCCCCCTGACCTCTTCCTCGACATTCTTCAGATACAGCAATTGCAGCGACTTCACCAGATTTTTCCTCGGGAAATGGAAATAGAGCAGCACAAGCGATGATTGAACCATCTCTTTCAACAACATAGAATGATTCTAACGCTTCAAGAAGCTGAAGAGAATAGAAAAGAAACATCCATTATAGCAGTAGCAACAACAAAATTAAAGCATAGTGCAAGGAAGATACAAAAGAATGTTAGAATCGAAAGTATTTATCCACTAACTCACCTCTGCATCCGTTCTCCGCACCAAAACACCAGAATCCTCGAGCGGACGAATAATTTTTCTTATGCCAGGAAGATCTTCCACTGTAGCCATCCTTGTTCCTTCATAAACATCTCTGAAAACATTTGTTAGGGATTAGGGAACTCCCATGACAGATTGTGGATGCTAAATTTCCAAAGGCGCTTATTTCTTTGAAATTTTCATGGCAAACATTTGCTACACAAGCACAAATTTCAGCCAAGAATATCTCCATACTCGACACATACTAAGGCATTTCATTACTCATATGAAAATGTTTCTTTTAGTAATAAGGACTACAAAAACGAATTATACTACATATCTAGGATATAGCATCCATGTTGATAAAAGATAATACAGGCACTGGATTATTGAAATGAACACTAAAACAACAAATTTGAACAAAAAAAGTTGATAAAAGAAGAGCTTCAAAATACCTAGCTATCATTGTTCCTGCTCCATCTCTCGTAAACAATTCTAATAGCAGTGATCCATCTACAGATCCATCTATAATATGAACTCTTTGAACGCCACCCTGACATTTGGAAGGAACAAATAGATAGTCAAGCCTAACAAATAGAGGTTTTAACCAAACTGTAAGCTTAAACATTCCAACGCAATATAGTAGCTGTTCACAGAACAAATACTGCTTTAATTGTGGAAAGAGAAAAATGCAAAGATCACAGCGCATGTTTCCTCCCGGCTCCCGCAAACTAAGCTCAACCTCTAATCTCCAGGTGAATTTCATAACTACATGCTCCACTGTACTACAACATGCTGCTGCTATGCAAACAGCCAGTAAGTTGAGAAGCTGTGTGAATTCCAGCCTTCCATCCTTCCACTTCGCAATATTTTCCACCACCATGGACGAACCAAATTTCATTACCCAAGAGCAACGAAATTCCCATAGTACGTACGTAACCAGAGCCAACCAAGCTGCCAGTTGTACTGAACTCCCAGTTGTCCACTTTGCAATATATTAATTCTATATTTCCACCAAGTTCATATATCAATCCCCTATCCACTTATATCCCACAATGCAAACAGCCAGTAAGTTGAGAAGCCACGTTAATTCCAGCCCTCCACCCTTCCCATTTTGCAATATATTAACTCTATTCTCCACCAAGTTCATATCTCAATCCCTATCCCATTCCCATCCTATTATCCCACGATGCAAACAGCCAGTAAGTTGAGAAGCTGCATGCATATAACATACTACAACATGCTGCCTTCCTTACGAAAACACTTCAGGAAGCACAGCATCAACCATGCACGCAGATCCCATATACGAAGCGCATGATCACTATACATTAATTAAGAACACTAATTGTAGGTAGGAAATTCAGAAGACAATTTTACTGCTTTGTACAGGATAAGATTTAAAAGGTGAATGTACATACTACATGGCACAGAAAAGTATTAGTCTTCAGTCAGGGCCACAGAATTTATAACAGAATAAAGAGTATCGTGGGCAAAACACTTACATGGCACACATATGCTGCCGCAGCCAACTCAGAAAGATAGCCATTTGATCTGCTTAACCGCTCTTCACCACCAATAGCAAACCCTTGCTCACCAGAATAAAAACCGTTTCCATTGTTAAAACCCAATCCGTTTTGAAAAGAAGCAGCATTTGATCTGCTTAACCGTTCTTCACCACCAATAGCAAACCCTTGCTCACCAGAATAAATACTGTTTCCATTGTTAAAACCCAATCCGTTTTGAAAAGAAGCAGCATACCCATTTATATGAGCCTTGGCACTCAATGATGGTCCGTTGTCCCCTTTATGCAGAGAATTGATGCCTTCCTCATCCACAACCTTGACATAACTTGCAGCGATATCACTTTGCTTAGCACGCTTTCTAATCAACAAATCTGCCTCCTCAATAGACATGAAATGAATGACTCGTCCATGCTCATCAAATATCTGGCCATCTACAATGCAGATAAGTTTATCTGCCTCCATGGCTAAAGCACATGCAGTAGCAACCTCGTAGGTGCTGAATTATAGCAAACAAGACAAAATAATTTTGTTTAGTATGCTAGCTGCAATATATGCAACGGAGCAGGTTTTATGAAATTAATTGCAAGATAGGACATCTGCACATGTCATTCATATGATATTATGCTTGACTTGGTGGTAAGAATAGAACTACAAAAAAAATTTGTACAATCATACCAAAAAACATATAAAATAATAATAATTAAGAAAGCATACTTGCAATTTAACACTTCTCCTGATGAAGAGTATCCCATGTTGCTGACAACAACTATGCTATTACTATCAAGCCTTTCTCTTATCTGCGAAACATCAATTTTCGTAACTTCACCAGTGAATCCATAGTCAATACCATTAACCACTCCTCTTCTCTGCCAAAGAAATACATATATTCAGTATTGCCATTGCGCAGTCGAGTAAAGTTCAGCAGAACTAATAAATAGCAAAAACAAAGAAAGGAAATGAACACAAATAATAAACATGCTCCTATTTGTGGAGCATCCGGTTTCACTATGGATTGTATGATTTTATTATGATGCAATGAAAAGTTAGGAAAGAAAAATAGTGTTTTATCTTTCTTATGAAGAGCCATTTACAAACATTGGAATTCGCAAAGAAAATGCTACAAAATAATTATATAATAACTACATGGAAGCCAGATATTCAAAAGCTCAGCTACTAATAGATATTCACCTTAGCACCAAGGAAGTTGCCACTTGCAATGTTATCCACAAGACCATGCCAACGTCCAATAACACCATGCCTACGGAGATTTAACATTGGAGGACCAGGAGAAAGTTTAGCTTCTATCGTCAACCGTATCCTACCAGCTGCATCCATTGCAGCATCTTTCGCATCTTTATCAGTAATTCTGTACTGACCAACATACTTGGCCTTCTTCCCTACACAAAATTTAATAAGCTAAACACATGCTTTACAGGAAGTAAGAGATATATAGATGCAGTAAGAATCATCAAACCAATAGATGTTAGCAAAAGGACAGAACAGTGTAGAAAAAAGTAACTCTGCGTGCAATCA